TAATTTATTACCTACTGAAAGTAATTTATGACCTACTGAAAGTAATTTATGACATATTGGGAGTAATTCATTACCTCCTGAAAGTAAGTTATGACCTCCTGAAAGTAGTTTATGACCTACTGATAGTAATTTATAACCTACTGAAAGTAGTTTGTGACCTACTGAAAGTATTTTATGACCTACTAAAATTAATTGAAGTTCTTATGACACGCTGAAAGTGACATATAACATAATGAAAGTATTTTATTACAGACTGAAAGTAATTTATGACCTACTGGAAGTAATTTGTGACCAACTGAGAGTAATGACCTACTGAAAGTAATTTATGACCTACTGGAAGTAATTTGTGACCCGCAGAGAGTAATTTATGACCTGCTGAAAGTAATTTATGACCTACTGGGGGTAATTTATGACCTACTGGGGGTAATTTATGACCTACTGAAAATAATTTATGACCTACTAAAAGTAATTTATGACCTACTCAAAGTAATTTATTACCTACTGATAGTAATTTATAACCTACTGAAAGTAGTTTGTGACCTACTGAAAGTATTTTATGACCTACTAAAAGTAATTAAAGTTCTTATGACATGCTGAAAGTGACATATGACATAATGAAAGTAATTTATGACCTACTAAATGTAATTTATGACCTACTGATTGTAATTTATGACCAACTGAAAGTAACATATGACCTACTGAAACTAATTTATGACCTACTGGGGGTAATTTATGACCTACTGAAAGTAATTTATGACCTACTAAAAGTAATTTATGACCTACTCAAAGTAATTTATGACCTACTGATAGTAATTTATAACCTACTGAAAGTAGTTTGTGACCTACTGGAAGTATTTTATGACCTACTAAAAGTAATTGAAGTTCTTATGACATGCTGAAAGTGACATATGACATAATGAAAGTAATTTATGACCTACTAAATGTAATTTATGACCTACTGATTGTAATTTATGACCAACTGAAAGTAATATATGACCTGCTGAAACTAATTTATGACCTACTGAAAGTAATTTATGACTTACTAGGAGTAATTTATGACTTAATAAAAGTAATTTATGCCCTACTGGAAGTAATTTGTGACCCATTGAGAGTAATGACCTACTGAAAGTAATTTATGACCTACTAGGAGTAATTTATGACTTACTGAAAGTAATTTATGACCTACTGGAAGTAATTTGTGACCCACTGAGAGTAATGACCTACTGAAAGTTATTTATGACCTACTGGAAGTAATTTGTGACCCACTAAGAGTAATGACCTACTGAAAGTAATTTATGACCTACTGAAAGTAATGTATGACCTACTGAAAGTAATGTATGACATACTGGAAGTAATTTATGACATACTGAAGTAATTTATGACTGATTGAAAGTAATTTATGGCATACTGAAAGTAATTTATAATCTACTGAAAGTGGTTTACGATCTACTGAAAGTGGTTTATACTCTACTGAAAGTAATTTATGATCTACTGAAAGTAATTATTGACATACTGAAAGTAATTTATGGCATACTAAAAGTAATTTATGGCATACTGAAAGTAGTTTACGATCTACTGAAAGTGGTTTACAATCTACTGAAAATAATTTATAATCTGCTGAAAGTAATTTATGATTAACTGAAAGTAATTAATGACATACTGAAAGTAATTTATGACCTACTGAAAGTGACATATGAAATACTGATGATCTATGACATGCTGAAAGTGACTTCCTAATTACTTACACAGAATCATTATATGTGCCTTCGATGGTATCTGCCAAATTGTCCGCTAGATATTTGTTCTCTCCTGTAGGATTTTTTATGTTTATTTCAAATCTGTTCTTTGTTTCTCCGGGCTGAGTTGCGCTTGCTTCTCTGAAAAGCAGACAGATTGAAATTATTTATTCTTCTAAAGGGACTGTCTTCAGAATGGCTTGCCATCTGCTGAGATGCCGAAAAAGCACAAGCTCTATAGCTCCAGGGATAATCCTCAGGGATATTCGTATAAAAAACACACAAAAACAAACCACATTAGTGAACTGGACAATGCCCTGGTGTGGGTTCTATGGCCACATTTGAGGTAAGACAAGAATAGATCCACGTCCCTTGTAGCTAAGTGGTGCAGTATGCTGTGACTGTACTGACACATGATCAAGCCTATTGCCTCTCAGTGCAGTTTATCAGTGGGTTCGTACCCCATTGTTTCCTGACATCAGTATTTCTGATACTATTTCTTCTTGTTATATTTACGATTCAACGTAAACATTTTATTCCTATTTGGATTTTTCTGTTTGCTTTTTGATGTTAATACCCAGGCTTGGCAAACTACTTCTACTTCTTCTAGAAAAAAAATCTTGATCAGTTTCAACCTGCTGTTGGCAACTGAAGCTGCCAACAGTCTCTGGTTATATTTGTGGTCTGTTTTATTGGCACTACTTTTGTGGCTAATGCTCGGCAATGGCAGCCTGCCAGTTTAAATACTGCACTGGACAGTGATCTCTATGCTTTCCCGATATCTCCATACAAGGTGACATCCAATATTTTTTAGGGTGGTAAGAGGTTTTTTTTCTGCATTCTTATGCTTTCAACTATCCCAAAACATCTAGAACTGGGCCTAACCCAAATCCACCTATGTCCTACGTGAGAATGCAGCCTAGCTCCCACGACTACATGCAGCCTAGGTCCCACGACCGCATGCAGCTTATCTACCAACCCCTAAAATATTTGACTGTCGGGGAGGGGGGGGAGGAATATTGGGGCAGAACGGTGCTCTCTTCATATTAACTGTGACATGTTTGTTCTGCAGTACTAGTGGCCCATAGTTTGACTGGTTCTACAGTACTAGTGGCCCATAGTTTGGCTGGTTCTGCAGTACTAGTGGCCCATAGTTTGGCTGGTTCTACAGTACTAGTGGCCCATAGTTTGACTGGTTCTACAGTACTAGTGGCCCATAGTTTGACTGGTTCTACAGTACTAGTGGCCCATAGTTTGGCTGGTTCTACAGTACTAGTGGCCCATAGTTTGGCTGGTTCTACAGTACTAGTGGCCCATAGTGTGACTGGTTCTACAGTACTAGTGGCCCATAGTTTGGCTGGTTCTACAGTACTAGTGGCCCATAGTGTGACTGGTTCTGCAGTACTAGTGGCCCATAGTTTGGCTGGTTCTGCAGTACTAGTGGCCCATAGTTTGGCTGGTTCTGCAGTACTAGTGGCCCATAGTGTGACTGGTTCTGCAGTACTAGTGGCCCATAGTTTGACTGGTTCTGTAGTACTAGTGGCCCATAGTTTGACTGGTTCTGTAGTACTAGTGGCCCATAGTTTGACTGGTTCTGCAGTACTAGTGGCCCATAGTTTGACTGGTTCTGTAGTACTAGTGGCCCATAGTTTGACTGGTTCTGCAGTACTAGTGGCCCATAGTTTGACTGGTTCTGTAGTACTAGTGGCCCATAGTTTGACTGGTTCTGCAGTACTAGTGGCCCATAGTTTGACTGGTTCTGCAGTACTAGTGGCCCATAGTTTGACTGGTTCTGCAGCCATTGGGTGGTAAACTGATGCATGACGGACTATATGTTATAAGGGTTCTTTGGAAGCGGGGAGGTAAAAAGTGCTGAACTGCTGAATTCTGGGCTTGCTGCTGAAGATGGGGAAGTAGCACTTATGGGAATGTCCAGAATGCTATGACATTGGTTCTCAACTCATAACTCCTCACCACGGTGTCACATACATTTGCTGAAATCTGACATGCTGAAAGGTGGCAATATCACTGCCTAGCTGTGAACAACCACACAAGGTGGCAATATCACTGCCTAGCTGTGAACAACCACACAAGGTGCCAATCATCATTTTAAGGAACAATGCAGAAGACATATAATAAACCCCAAGTAAGGAGAAGACCTTACAAATATGGAATGATGGCATCAAGAACGGCTTTAAATTAATGAAGATCACCTAATGCAGGGCATTTGTAAAGTCTCACAACCTTTTTTGTTTAGAAAAACTGCAAAAAACAAAGTACATGACATTATCAAAAAATTCGCTCCACAGTCGATCATGAAGCAATATGCAGTGAGTGTCTGTCATCTGCTAGAGTAATTCTTTGCACTCAAAACAGAATGGTGTTATCAACGGAAGCAATCAGAATTACCATTCAAGAAATAATAACAGATTGCAGAAGGTATCTGACAATATAAAGAAATGTGTACCATTATGTCTTGAAACCCGTAGTGGACATTTCCAAGACATGTTATACTGAATATTTCATTTTACTTCCCTGTTTAATCAAAACAGACCCTAGCAATGACTATTGTGACTTATTTAATTCATTTCTAAGCACCTTTTTTTGATGATGTCATGTACATCTTCTTCTTATTCAGCATTCCAAGCCCTTGATGTTCATTGCTGCAGATATCAACCGACTCCACATATCTCTCTGGTTTGGCCTTCTCTTTCCAGTTGGTGACACCAAGTGTTTGCAGGTCTGTCTGTAAATTATCTCTCAATCGTCTTCTTGGTCTGCCTCGTGGTCAACGACCATTCAGCTCCCTTGTGCGCACAATTGTTACCTCTCTGTCATCTGACATTCTCTCAATATGCCCCAGTTATTGTGGTCTATTAGCTCTCATTATGCCAGTGATCACTGATGATTTAAACAGATTATGAATGTTGTTGTTGCTTCTCCATCTCCATTCCCCATTGTTTGCATGCTGAAGGGTAGAGAACAGATGAAATGAGACATCCTCTTTCTGCAGGTTGGGGGCTGAAGTGTGGTGACGACACCTGCATCTTCATAAAACTTCATTTCCTCAAGAAACAAAGATAAGCCTAGATTTTGAATGGCATGTACTTGGTTTTTTTCAAATTTGTTTAGCATATAAAGTGTAGTAAAATTTTATAAACACCCTATATGCATTGGAAACACTACACAGAAGAGCTTTACATCTTCCCTCCCAAAACCTAGATGAAAGAGAAGAAGATGACAAAGAAAAAGTAAACAACAAACCTCAAAAACTTCAACCTCACAGAGAGAAACAGCTTTCCTCTGTGAGATTTCCTCAGGTCCTGCACCAAAGCCTCCTTGCCAATGGGGCTCACTCCCCAAATGGACAGGGACTTCCCGTCAAACTGTATTAAGGTCACATCTTCCGGCTCATAATTGCTGAGAAAACTGTAGGTATTCTGTAGGCAAGACCATTTACACAGCTTCTGATATCACATGTAAACAAGTAAAAAGTAAAGGATGCTTTTCCACCCCCTCAAGTGTATTGGATGTAAATGGCTACACCTATATTTTATAGATCATATGGCATTTGATGGGTGATGTGGTCAGCATCACGCCGGTCACCTTTACTTCCCAGGACTGTACCTGGTACCAACTCAAGGCTGGGTCGACCAGGAAGCCAAGGTCACTTTAAAAAAAGTCCTGCTCCCAAACCCAAGACCCTCTAATCCGCAGGTGAGCATCTAGCTGCTACACCACGGCGGCTCACCTTGTACCATATAATATACTCTCTACAGGAGCTGCAGTGGTGTAGTGGCTAGATGCTCGCCTGCACATTCTAAGGTTGAGGGTTCAAATCCGGACACACCGGATTTAAAAAAAAAGTTATCTCTGCTCCCAGGTTGACCTAGCTTTCAATGGGTACCAGATTAAACTCCTGTGAAGTAAAGATGGCAGGCATGTTGCTTACCAAATTACCAACCAAGTGCCGACAGGTCTATAAAGTATTGGTCTAGCCCTATATACCCAATTTACAAGAAGGCAAGAAAAGAGTTGCTTGTATTTTTCTCTTTACTAATATGCTCTTTATGACTATCATTGCTTTTTGAAAACACATTTTGTATGTTTGCCATCCATGTGCTTAAAACAACATGTATAAGCACAGCTGGAGTTCTGCTTATAATAAACTAAAGGTAAAGTCAGGAGATTTCAACCAGCGACATTACGGTTATAAACCATAAGTGCTCTGCCACCAGTACGCACAGCTAATAAGAAACTGTCCGCCTGTGTTGCTGTTCGTACGCAAATCTGTAGCTGCAGCGACGTTCCATTTACCCCAGGGTGTTAATAGAAATGTTCCGTTTGTGTCGCTGTCCGCACGCAACTCTGTAGCTACAGCAATGGTCCTCCATTTAGCCCAGGGTGTTAAAAGAAACTGTCCGCCTGTGTCGCTGTCCACACGCAACTCCGTAGCTACAGGAACGTTCCTCCATTTACCCCAGGGTGTTAACTCTGGTACCCATTGCCTAGAGGCTGAGTGAACCAGTTATGCTTAAAATGGCGTTGGTAATGGGTTCTAATTTTCCTGTGTATGGAAACTTATGGGACATCTCATGTAGCAGGTTGTTTGCAGAGCTTTGTTCTCCTCATGGCCTGCCTGAGAGAAACTCGGTCTCTCGCCAGTTCTCCCGCCTCATGTACTTTCATACTCAAGGAGTCACTTATATTCAGTGCCCACATTGGTCAGCCCCTGCCCCTCCTTCCTGGTACCATGCTCTCTGCTATTTTTTTTTTCCAATCCACAAGGGGTTGAAATGACCAAAATATTTTAGCTTCCGAGACAAAATACTGTTTATTAGCCATTCTTCCTTGATGTTTAGACCTTTTTAAATGACAGTATTTCTCCTCTTATATGACACTCTGTATTTAAAAAAACACAGAAGAGGGGGGGGGGGGGGGGGGGGTGGGCTTTCAAATAATAGAAAACTTTGTCCGATATTCTTCTTTTTCTTTCGTTCGCTTGGAATATATTATCTATATCTGCAATGTTGTCTCTAGTATAAACTTCACTTTCTTTTGTAATTCATTCAGTGAGCCGTACAGTTTGACTTGTACCGATGTTTCTCTTGGCCAAAAGTTTTGCCTTAAGACAACAGATAACAATTTTCTAAGTAAGTAAGTGAATTTTTATCCCACCAGGACATCATTCAGAGCGATAAACACCCAGTGACACAAAGTGCCACCATACGGATGAGGATCACCCGTAGAGAGGTCTCAGAAACCTTGTTCAACCGTGTTCATGTTCACTAATTACTCCTTTGTATATCTATATATTTAGGGGAACACTAATTTAATGTAGATAAATACATTTTGTAAAATGTATGAGTCATCGGTGGTAACTTGTATTAAAAAAAAAAAACTGGGAGGGGATTCCTTAATTTCTATGCCTTCCTGGGGGCAAAAGAGTTAGAACCATGACCCCTAAGCATCTCTGCAGGGCACAGGATGCTGATAACTGCCGGCTGGAATAATCTCTTACCCTGTCTCTTGCATAGTGAGATTTCAGTAAATTGAACTCTGCCTGGGTCAAAGATCTGATGCTATCTCCAGTGGCAGTGGCGGTGAGCAGCGGCTGATACCCATCAATGGAAATGGTCATCGTGGCCTCTAGTGGCGGGTTTCTGATAAACACCATGTGTAGGAATGAGAAGAAGAGCAGCGGAAACCAGACGATGGCGATAATACTGATGAGAAGAGCACCACCTGCCAGGTATTTCACTGCGGTGCTCTTTTTAACCGCTCTCTCCTGGGGAAATTTCTGAAAATACATGTCAGCATGAGTTCATGTCTGAAAGTACATGTGAGCATAGGTTAATTTCTGAAAGTACATGTGGGCAGAGGTACATTTCTAAAAGTACATGTGGGTGCAGGTTAATTTCTAAAAGTACATTTCGGTGCAGTTTAATTTCTGAAATTACATATGGGCATATGTTAATTTTTTTTTAAAGTACATGTGGGCTTTGGTTAATTTTAAAGTAAATGTGGGTGCAGGTTAATTTCTGAAAGTACATGTAGGCACTGGGCCGCGGATCAGAAGGCTGTGGGTTTGCACCCTGGCAGAGCCAGACTTTTCTTAAAAAACGACCTTGGCTCCCAGGTCGACCCAGCCTTGAGTGGGTACCGGATGCAGTCCCCAGGAAGTAGATTCGGTGGGCGTGATGCTGACCACATCACCCATCTTGGGTCGTTGGTCTATAAAATATAGGTATAGCCCTAAATACCAAAAGGTGTGGGAAAAGGGTCCTTTACTTACCTAAATTTTTTTTACATGTGGGCATAGGTTAATTACTGAAAGTACATGTGGGCGTAGGTTAACTTCTGAAAGTACATGTGGGCACAGGTTAATTTCTGAAAGTACATGTGGGCGTAGGTTAATTTCTGAAAGTACATTTCGGTGCAGGTTAATTTCTGAAAGTACATGTGGGCACAGGTTAATTTCTGAAAGTACATGTGGGCACAGGTTAATTTCTGAAAATACTTGTGGACACACGTTTATTTCTTAAAGTACTTGTGGGCACAGGTTAATTTCTGAAAGTATATGTGGGCCCAGGTGACTATGATGGCTGTCATAGCCCATATTTTGAGAACCTATATATTTTACCAAAAGCTCACCTTCTCAAACTCCCTCCAACATTTAATCACAAAAATGTTGGCGTAAATGTCTTCCATCTGCAGCCAGTTCCCGATTGCCAGGGTGGAGTCACTCCAAGTCCAATCCATAAGGGCCCGTAACTCCAGCAAGAAAGGAATGGCCAAAAATCTAAATATACATTGGAAATATTATAAAACATTAAGATTGAAAAAAAAATGTGGATGAATTAAAGAGTAGTGAAGAAAAAAGAGAAATGTCTGGGCAGCCACTAGTGTCGATTGATAAAGAATAAAAATTATGGTGTTAAACTGCAGACCACCTAAGAAGAAATGAGCAAAGGACCATCAAACAGGCACTAGAATAGGAAATAGAGGGATTAAGGAGAAATAAACCCCATAATGAACATTGATGAGAGAACGAATGAACAAACAAACTTTATTTTCAAAGGCTCACAAATTAGGCAGGCATACCCGTCTTACATGCGGCCCTTCCAAACACCCATCTTTCACTATGCAGTTGCATTTTATCAAAAAAGCATATTATGTTCACCTAATAAAATGAATATTATTAATATTAAGTCAAAAACAAATACATGACTGGCAAAAAACATGCGCGTGCTTGCTCGCGCATGCACACAACCACATACACATGCAAACCCATTCACTCACTAACACATACACATAGGTACCCAGCACACATAAACATATATACACACATACATGCGTACAACTTTTGCTTTGGACGTCTATGAAGTGTTCCAGAACAGAAAGGAAACTATGGTGGTAGCACTGGACCTCGAGGATGCTTGTAACAGAGTGAGATACAACATCTTGATGATTGCACTGAAGGAGAAGGAGGTCAGTCCATGGCTGGTGAATTGGGTTGCAGCTGTCCTGTATTCACATCAGGTTGCTCTCCAACTGGGCTCATGGACCTCAGAACCATGCAGTTTGGCCCCAGGACTGCCACAGGGATTCGCCATCTCGCCTGTGCTCTTTAACATGTATACGAGCAAGATTGCAAGCCTAGAAGCACCAGGAGTTGGAAGGATACTGACTTTTACGGATGATATACTTGCATATAAGCAGGGGGAAGACAGGGAACAAACAGCGCGGGAGCTACAAGCGCCAGTAGACAAAGTGACTGAGTGGTGTACAGAAATGAGGACTGTCATCCACCCAGAAAAAGCATCTGTTTTGTGCTGTTCTCTAGACAACAGGATCGTTATAGCTAATGTCTCAAGTCTCACGAAAGATGGTAGAAATATCAACAGAGAGAGCAAACTGAATTACATTTGGCAGGAGCCTGTCCTTTAGGACCATGTGGAAAGTGTGGTGAAAAGATGCCAAAAAGAACTTAGTGCACTTAAGACTATGGCTGCAACTTAATAGAGCAGAGAATGCTTTTCACACTATATCAGCACCTGATGCAGTCAGTTGTTGATAATGGCCTGGGACTGCTTACCGTCTCAAAAAGACAGATGGACAAACTAGAGCGCATTCAGAAGACAGCTATGCTGGTCATTCTGGGTTGCCCCAGAGATACCCGAGTGGTGTGTTTGTGATACAGCCTTGGTTTGCCGACTGTTGCAGGTAGGCACAAGGTGCTGCAAGTGAAGTCATATCTCAAGGTAGCTGAAGACACAGACCACCCTTTGCACGAAGCTCTGGGTGCAGTTAAGGGTCAGCGGCTGATAAGAGAGGAGTCATGGATGGCAGAAGACACAATCAGACAGGTTTGCATCCTTGAAAACATTAGGCCAGGAGAGGAGTGGGTCAAAGTGCCTTCTGAACAGTCAGACTTGTGTAGGGTCATAATCACGCTGAGCCGGGAATGCAGAGACTGGCCAGCAGGTGCCACAGAGGTGGAAATTCAGCAATTGATTCAAGATAATGCTCGCTCAGAGGATTTGATTATTTACATAGGTGGTTCAGTGTCAAGAGGATAAAAGAAATGCTTGGGGCTTCTTAGCAAAAGTTAATGATCAACGTTTGGTACAGGAGAGCCTAGCATATGATACCACAACATCCAGCTTAAGAATGGAGGTGGAGGCGGTCAGTGCAGCTTTCCGCTGGTTAGAGAACACGACACACACACACACATCGTGACTGTAACTGATTCAGAAAGCATGCTGAGGAAGGTAAGGACGGGCATGCTTCGTGCAGAGTAGCAGTCTTCACTGCGGAGGACTTGGGTGAGAAGTATTATCTGGATTTTTTCAACAATGAACACCGGTGTGTTGGGAAATGAAGAGGCAGATAGACTGGCTGGCTCTGCACAATTTGGTGGAATACTGATGCATGATAAGGCAGACGTTGTTAGCGATTTGTGGGAGAGCGTGTACAGTTCAGAGGAGCAGATGGATCACCACAGTCTGGTGAGATTGATGCAGTGGGGGGAGTGATGAGAGGTTCTGCCAGATGCTCAAGGCTCAGAGGAAAGGCAAGATGGATGTTAAATCAGAATGCTACTGGCACCATTAGTATCGGAACTCTTCATTGGCTGCTGGGGATGGGGACGGAGCGCCTATGGGAATGCCCGAGTGCTGTGATGTCGGTTCTTGAATCAACTCAACTCAAACATGCGTACATACATACATACATACATACATACATACATACATACACACACACACACATACATACATACATACATACATACATACATACATACATACATACATACATACTACATACATACATACATACATACATACATACATTCATACATACATACATACATACATACATACATACATACATACATACATACATACATACATACATACATACATACATACATACATACATACATACATACATACATACATATATACATACATACATACATACTCATATACACAGTCACACACAGAGACACACTCAAGATACTGGACTGAATTCCATCCATGATATGGAACTGATTGTACAGAACAATGGAGCGGGGGAATAGACTGTGAGCTCTACTGGCACAACAGGACATTGACTGAATTGATTCTGATTATAGTGCAATAAAAGTGACAGCATTGTGTATACAATAAATAAACAGATAATGTATTGATCGGCACTCAAAGAAAGAAGCAGAAAGATAGAAGGACACACTAGACAACATAAAAATTGAAAGCTGTAGTTACTGTGCGGTAAATCAAACCTGTCACCACCGAATGACATGTGCGCCTCACTATGGAAACAAGTGTACTAAGAACATGACCAACTAGGCACACCTAAAAAAGGTGTCTTAATTGACCAAGTTTATCATACAGCCTGAGATTCATCCTCAGTTATTCTACATTTAACTTCTTCAAGGCATCAAAGAAGAACAAATGCGTCCAAATTCAAGAACTGAATATTGAAGAAGGTTGGCTATCAAAGACGATAAAACATGGAAAACTTAAATATTTTGGTCACTTGAAATGTCAAGAAATATCAGAGAGAACCATAATGTAGAGGTATATGCCTGGGAAGAGAAGAAGAGGAAGGCCAAAGAGAAGATGGATTCAGGATGTGGCGGATGATCTCCAGATGGGTGTATCGGACACAAGACATATTGCTTGGGATCAAGAAGGGGCTGTACGAAGTTTGGTTGCATTTAAAGAACAAACACCGTGCCCTCTGTCGCGCTGAGTGTTTCTGTGCCAACAGACGAAGAACCAAAAGGGAGCGAGAGAAATTCTTTAGGGACCCGTATCAGTTTGCTCGAGGTCTATTCGAGCAACCGAAGTCTGGGACTCTGGTTGTCAGTCAGGAAGAACTAGAGTTACATCTACGCAAGATGTACTCTGACAAAAAGAGGAGAGAGCCTCTCGATGACAATCCAGAGATCCTTAGCGGCCTCAAACAGCCTTCGGTGCCGAAGGTACCATTTAAAATGATACCTCCCCTTTGGTCTGAGGTTGAGGAAGTTGTGAAAAAGGCCAGCGGCAAGTCTGCCCCAGGACCGAACGGTGTCCCGTACGTTTTTTACAAGCGCTGCCCGAAAATCCTAAAAATGCTTCACGTCTTGTTGAGACAAGCGTGGATCCGTAATAACATATGTCCAGAGTGGTCAAAGGCAAATGCGGTCTACATTCCCAAAGAGCAGGACTCGAAGAGTCTTTCCCAATTCAGGCCCATCTCGCTGTTGAATGTCGAGGGTAAGATATTCTTCTCGGTCATGGCTCGCCGGCTCACACAGTATCTGATGGCTAACAAGTACATAGATACGAGTGTTCAGAAGGGTGGTATTCCAGGCGTTCCTGGGTGCCTTGAACACGCGACCATGATTTGGGAGGCTATCCAGAGAGCCAAGCATGAGAGAACACAATTGCACGTTATATGGTTGGACTTAGCCAACGCCTACGGGGCAGTCCCCCATAGGCTACTGTGGCGAGCCCTTCGCATGTTTCACGTACCGACACAGATCAATCAAATGATCGAGCAATATTTCTCTAAGTTCGCTTTGCGCTTCTCTACCTCAACGTTTACCACGAGGTGGACTGAGTTGCAGATTGGGATAGCTATGGGCTGTACGATCTCACCCATACTGTTTGTCATGGCAATGCAGATCATGTTAGACGGGGCGGCCGGCTACGGACTGGGCCTTCAAATAGGGGATCTCTGGATGCCACCATTACGTGCCTTTATGGATGACACGACTATTATAACGGGCAGCGAGGAGTCTGCCCGCACGATCCTGGAAAGATTGGACGCGGTGGTCCAATGGAGCGGTATGCAGTTCAAACCGCAGAAGTCAAGGAGTCTGTTTATCCTTAAGGGTCGGGTGGTGGCAACCAGTTTTACGGTGGCAAGGAACAAGATCCCTACGGTTCTGGATGAACCGGTGAAGAGCCTCGGTCGCGTTTATGACTCAAAGTTATCTGATAGAGCGGAGGTCCAGCGAATACACAAGTCACTGGCTACAGGCTTGCTCGCGATCAAGCGTTGCAGGCTGATCGGGAAATTCAAGGTATGGTGTCTCCAATTCATGTTGATTCCAAAGCTCCTATGGCCACTGTTAGTCTACGAGGTGACGATGACTGCAGTGGAAACCATGGAGAGGAAAATCAACACAGCCTTGAGAAAGTGGATTAGTGCACCGCCTTGTCTGGCCGACGTGGCTGTGTTGCAAGCAGGCTAAGCTGGTACTTCCGTTCAAATCAATAACTGAAGAGTTCAAAGTTGGCAAAGTAAGACTCGCCATGCTCTTGCGCGAGTCTTCAGACCCAAATGTCATCGCTGTCCAGCCTGCTCTAAAGACTGGCCAGAAGTGGAGAGTCCTCGATGCGATAGAATCTGCCCAGAATGCACTAAAATTGAAGGAGATAATGGGATACACTCAAACCGACTGTCGAGGCCTAGGGCACGGAAAGGTCAATTGGTGGTCAAAGGCCTCAGCCAAAGAGCGCCGAGACATGGTAATACAAACGGTGAGGGACAACGAAAACGAGATTCGGGTCCAGAAAGCAGCCCAGCAGTCACAGCAGGGCCATTTGGTCAGCCTGGAGAGCGCATTGCCAAGAGTACTCACATGGGGTGAGATCTGGTGGATGACCCCGCTGCGACTGAGCTTTATCGTTCGTTCGGCGTATGATGTATTACCGTCCGGTGTTAACATGGTTAAATGGTCTGCGACTAACAATCCGACTTGCCCGTTGTGTAAAGCGAAGCAAACTCTTGAACACGTCCTGTCTGCGTGCAGGAAAGCCCTAGGCCAAGGCCGATATACCTGGCGTCACAACAAGGTGCTAAATGAGTTAGCAGCCGTTGTTGACCAGGCTAGAATGAGGGCTAACTCTAGAGCCAGTATCATCCCCATACGTTTCCTCAAGGCTGGGCAGATTCCAAAAGGTAAGGTCAACGAAATGCATTCGCTCCATCTGTGCTAGACTCTGCGAGGGACTGGTTACTGGCGGTTGATCTGCCGGGCCATGAAAGGTACCCCGAGTTGATCCGGAAGACCGGCCTGCGACCTGACATAGTTCTCCACTCTGCTCAAAAACGGCAGCTCATCATGATTGAGTTGACCGTCCCGTTTGAGTCGCACGTAAAGCTCGAGAAATACAGTGATTTAGCAGCCGGTCTGAGGAGAAACAAGGCGTACACAGTACGGGTCTTTGCCGTCGAAGTGGGAGCGAGAGGCCTCGTTTCCACTTCGCTCTACAATGTGGTTAAAGAACTAGGATTGCGCGGTAATGAATGGAAACGAACACTTAAAAAACTGGGCGAGGCAGCCGAAAGGGCCTCGAGCTGGCTTTGGACGCAACGCAACAACGTAGGGGACGGGCCTCGGTGAGCTGGTCCGGGTCTCTAGTGGAAAAGGGTTTCTCACCCTTTGAAAGTCCATAGTGTTCGAATTGTCTGCCAGTGATCCTCTGCCACCTGCTAATAAAGTCCAACATGTTTCCGGTAAACCATTCGTAAGCTTGTCGCTCTGTCGTCCAGGCACGCTGACTGTTCTAATTAGGCTGCCGCAACGACGACTTATCTCACAGTACCTTCTGCAAACCACCAAGTCGTCTTGTCCCCATCCGAAAGAAAAATACCATCCGGTAATTTCGTGCAGCAGGGAACCAGCCCACCTCCGAAAGCGTATAGACACGCTCGTTGACGAGGATAATTTCTACTGACGACTGATAGATCCCTGCTGTACTTGCTCCCTGTGAGTTTATTCCTATTGTGTGCGATTACATTAAAAGACACAGTACTCTTTTAAAAACAATAACAGAGAGAAAGGTCAAGGGCAAGACAGCAAGAGGGTAGACAATGATACAAGTGGGAGGACAAGATCAAGAGATGGATGAACAGCAGTCAGAGAGAGTACAACCAAGACAAGAGACAGAGCATGTTGGGGATCCTTTGTATAGTCAAACATTCACTAGTCAAAGGAAGGTAAGGGGAAACCACTACCCACCTGTCCTTAGAAAATCATTCTTGCTCTTGCTTTAAATTCCTTGGACAGCCGAAAGGAGCATTCCAGTTGTGCTGACAGAGGGTGAGGGCTCAACGACAACTTATCACAAATATCAGACACAGATAGTCATCATTTTTCTAGCCATGTTGAAGAGGAAAACTGGAACATGCTGAGACAACTGGAAATGCTGTCGGAGGTCACCGGTTGTGGAGACTGAAGAGGGAAACTGGAACATGCTGTGACAACTGGAAATGCTGTCGGAGGTCACAGGTTGTGGAGATTGAAGAGGGAAACTGGAACGTGCTGTAACAACTGGAAATGCTGACGCAGGTCACTGGTTGTGAAGATTAAAGAGGGAAACTGGAACGTGCTGTAACAACTGGAAATGCTGTCACAGGTCACTGGTTGTGGAGATTGAAGAGGGAAACCGGAACATTCTGTGACAACTGGAAACACTGTCGGAGGTCACAGGTTGTGGAGATTGAAGAAGGAAACTGGAACATGCTGTGACAACTTGAAACGCTGTCGGAGGTCACAGATTGTGGAGATTGAAGAAAAAAACTAGAACATGTGACAACTGGAAATGCTGTCGGAGGTCACAGGTTGTGGAGATTGAAGAGGGAAACTGGAACATGCTGTGACAACTGGAAATGCTGTCAAAGGTCATAGGTTGTGCATGATTATTTGCTAAGACACTTCATGGTGATGATGAATTCCAGGGAAATTTGACTAAAAACTTAACCAAATGGGGAAGCAGAAAAACGTGCACAAAACAACACAAATTTGTGCACGTTTTTCTGCTTCCCCATTTGGTTAAGCTTTTTAGTCAAATTTCCCTGGAGTTCTTTGTATTAGCTTGACTGCAGTCACCCTCGTATTTTAACAATTTGTTGATGATGAATTACAATGGCTTCTGTTTTTCTACTTCTTTTTTCTGTGATTGTCCTTAAAAGGACAGTTGACATGATGTGTAGTGGTTTCCAGCCAGGTTGCAGTATCTGTGCCTTTCGCTCAACACATCTGATTTCAGCAAAGATTTAATTAGTTGCCTTTCATAATATGTTTTTTTTAAGGTCACAGTGGGTGTATTTCTTTGCCTTGTTTCTCTCCCCCCCCCCCCTCCTCCACCAAATGGGCCCCAGAACCCACATTGAGACAACAGATAATGACTAAACACACACATACACACATACATACCCTTTATATAAAATCAGATTGGCAAAACCATAGTTCTTTGTCAGAATGTTGCCAATGGTGCGGACAGGGTAGCCACAGCAGATCTGGTGGGCTGAGAGGCCAAAGTAGATGCTCTTGATGAAATACCAAATCTGAGCTGCCGAGTTGTTGTAGAAGCTCCTGGGTACAAGAGATCAAGTCATTTGCAAGAGATGTCAAGACATTTGCAGTGGGAGACTGAGCACCTATGGCAGGGCTATTCAAGTGGCGGCCCGCTGGCCAAATCTGGCCCATGAAGGCATAGCAGGTGGCCCGCGGATCATTGTCAGTTGTACTATTTTAATTAGCTGTTTATGCTGGGGCGTGAGACTTTGGCACGTGGCGATACCCATTTTCAAAATTTTGGCCCCAGAGCAAATTTAGTTGAATAGCCCTGACCTATGGGTATACCTGATGTGCTATGATGGAGATTCATCAATCAGTAATGAATCTGAACCCCAGAATTCAAGGTATTTGCAGAGACTCAAGTTCAGAGCAATAAACAGACCACTCAAACTTATTGCTATGGAACATCTGCTTTTTTTTTTCAGTATTCTTCTTCTTTTTCTTCTTTGCATTCACTGGCTGAAAACTCCAGCGGAAAGTTCTGGTTGTTCATCCACCTCTAGACTTTAGTCTTGTCCCGTCCCAGAACCTGAGTGTTGGGTGCACATCCATTTCACACACCTGGCTTATTTGTATGCAGACTCTTCATCCCTTGCCACTCTCACAGATGTACTCCGACTTTGAAGGAAGCCCCCTAATTAGTTGACTCCTAGGACATTCTTGTCAGGGAGGCAGTCTCTCTGTTCTTGTTCTCCCCACAATGGGGCTGCAGAACCCACAGAGGGACTTCAGTATCCTGAGCCCTTGAGGTTCACTGCTGCAGATACCAGCTGCCTCCAGTCATTTCTATGGGTGGCCTTCTGTTTCTCATTGGTGACTTCAAGTGTCTGAAGGTCTGCCTGTAAATTATCTCTCCACCATGGCATCATCATCATCATCTAGTATGTCCTTTACAGAACTTGGCTCTTGTCACGGCAAGCCTGAAAGTCTCTCTTCCTCTAGCCTTATGTATTTCATAGCCATTGTGTCTTCAACAGGGCTGCCAATGCTGGGTTTTTACCCCCAGATGTGGGTTTTATATTTGATGCCTTGGGTTCAAATTTGTAAATCTTGTTTTAAAAAAAAAATGTTTATATCATCATCATCAGGTGCTTTGCTGACTGGCGTGGGCGATCATGCCTCTCCACAACCTGTGATCTCCTGCAGCATGTATCAGTTCGTGTGCTGACACACCTCCATGCCATGCAACAAGACTGTCAAGCATCTTCTATCGCTGTCTTCCTCTATCCTTCCTTCCACAGATCTTTCCAGTGGTCACAACATGTTTAATTTTTCCTTTTCTGATAACATGACCGAAAAGTGATGATTGTCTCCTTCTGATGTTTGTGATAAGTTGTCTTCGAGCTCCCGCCTCTTTCAAAACCTCTTGGTTGCTCTTTTTGGCTGTCCAAAGTGGGTAAATGTATTGTTTCGTAATTATAAAATTTGTACTTTTTAACAACTACGTTTTTGTTTTGCTTTTTGTTCTTTGCCAATGTATTGCTTGGGTTTTTGTTCAGCTTAGCTGGGGGTTTTCACAAAAATCCCATTAGCCGCCCTGGTCTTCAATGTCTTGTATCCACATTCACAGAGGTCTACCTCTGCCTCATTTCCCAGAAACCGTTCTCTCCAGGCCACCAGGACATTAAACATGACCAAAACACCTCAGCTTTTGGGGCAGGATGCTGTTGATGAGCCAGTTCTCCTCTGCTGCAGTTTAGAGTTTCTAGGGATACATAATGTTGCAAGCTTCCCTGGCATTCCCCACCCCTATGGCTGAGCACCTCAACCTCCTGTAATCTTTCAGACAGCTAGGCTAAGAGAGCTCCCTGCCCAACATGGCAACAGTTGGTGTATGCAAAGGTGCTTGGTAATGCCAGGTGCCAGGTTTGATCCCAGCTACAGGTGATCTGCAGCAGAATGCCTTGCGTTGGTTTTGACAGTGATACAGAGAGCTGACCGTTTAGGCAGCAACGGCAAACTGTTTCTTCTTCTTCAGCATTCCGATCCCTTGAGGTTCATTGCTGCAGATATCACCGGCCTCCATTCATCTCTCTGGTGTTGGCTTTATCTTTCCAGTTGGTGACACCAAGTGGTTGCAGGTCTGCCTGAACATTAAATCTTCATCGTCTTCTTGGTCTGCCTCGTGGTCTACGACCATTCATCTCCCTGGTGTATACAGTTTTTTACTTTTCTGTCAACTGACATTCTCTCAATATGCCCCAACTATTTCAGTCTATTAGCTCTCATGATGCCAGTGATCAAAGGTGATTTAAACAAATTTTGAATTTTGTTGTTGCTTCTCACTCTCCATTCCCCGCTTTCCAATGACAAACTACTGAATATAAAATCTGCATTCAAAAACTACAACAGCAAAATACTGCTGGAGCTAGTTCTGCAACATCCATTAAAGGATATGCAATTAACTTTAACTAAATCCACCGCTGCCCATTTATTGTCAGGTCAGATGAAGATAGTGAATCCGACTCCAAACTTTGAGAAAACATCTCCCGAAAACATCTCTTGAAAACATGTCCTGAAAACATTTCCTAAAAACATCTCCTGAAAACATCTTTTTTTTTTTTTTTTTTCATCGAACACCGGCTGTGAATTCCAGTGAAAGGTCAGGTAATCGTCCGCTTGGACTTTTGGCTTTCACCTGGGCCTGATTTTTGCGTGTACAACCGTTTTTTATTTCCCTGCCTCATGGGCAGCTGTACGCCGACTTCGAAGGAAGACGTCAGGCCTATTTCTAGGGTGACTGTGGCCATTGTTTTGTGTGGGTCGAGACGTTGCCTGATTTGTGTGGTGTCCACTTCGTCTCCTTTGCCGCAGGTATTGCCCCCGGAATACCCCTTTGGGTCGGCCCCCTGTGGAACAGTTAGCCCTCAAGGGAAGGCAGGGGCAGATCTTGGGCATTCCCCGCCATCCAAGGAGGCATCCATGTATGCAGAGCCGACACATGGCGCTCTGGTTCTGGGCTCACCCAAGGAATCGTCACGTCCTGCACAAGCCTGCTTAACCTCACAACCGTATCAGGCTTCCCGCTCGACAGGGGCTGCGCCCTCTGGGGGTCAGCGGGGAGCAGCCCGCGGGTTTTGGACTTTTGTAACCACACAGATAGGTACATTCTTTTTTTCTTCGCACGTTAGATTTCTTTGACGAGCCGTTAGCCCGACAGATTTTACATCCTGCATCAGGCATATCGTTATCAGTTTTGTCCCAACACTCGGGCGAGTGGTGTCCTTGGGTGTGGACATTCGGTCTTTTTCAGTTCAATTCTAATTTTGAGGTCAGATTTTGATCAGTATGATCTAGTTTTGTCGGAAATTTAGGCTTAGCCATCCGATCGATGGATGGTTGCTGTTGTGGTGTACCACAGCGCGGTGACGACGACACTGAGGGTTTACCAAGGACATGAATGGCCAGCCTATGGATGGTTGCTGTTGTGGTGTACCCCAGCGCAGTGACGACGACACTGAGGGTTAACCAAGGATGTACATGAATGGCCAGCCTATGGATGGTTGCTGTTGTGGTGTACCCCAGCGCGGTGACGACGACACCGAGGGTTAACCGAGGATGTACATGAATGGCCAGCCTATGGATGGTTTCTGTTGTGGTGTAACCCAGCGCGGTGACGACGACACTGAGGGTTAACAGAGGATGTGCAGTGAACAATGTTCTCTTTATTCCGCCGTCTTTTAACCAAGGGTTGTAATTTTGGCTGTACGTTTGGCAGACCTGCTCATGTTCCTAATGAGTTTTGATAACAATTTTTTCACCCAAGCGTTTGGGGGCGGGCTGATGAGAGCCACAGGGACACATCACCTCTGGGGGCCGCCAAACTCCGAGATCCCCTGGCAGCTCTGTTAATGCTCATTTGAGACATTATCCGTGGCGCACGACGAGGACGTGCTGCCGGGGTCTTGCGTGAGGTTCCGTACAACCAGGATATTAAAGGACTGGCGCCCGAGTGACGTACGGAGTATCTCCTTATACACATCATGTTGGACTTAACTTCCCCTCACGCCTGTGACATAAATCACCGCGCCACTGAAAACATCTGAAAACATCTCCTAAAACATCTCCTGAGACCCACCTCCTGGTAATAGCCGGCAGAACAAAGAACATCCACACGTGGATAATCATGACCAGCAGGATCTGGAAAATGTACTTCCCCAGAACAAACTTTCGCAGGAAGATAGCCCGGTCAATCAGGATGAAGATGAACTGTGTGATCAGCATGATGACAAATGGGATGGGTATCTTGCTGTCCCTCAGGTACTTGGCCACATTCTCTTCACCTGTGGTATCCTGAAAGGTGACAAAGAACACCGGCTGATGACAAAGAACACTGGCTGATGACAAAGAACACTGGCTGATGACAAAGAACACCAGCTGATGACAAAGAACACTGGCTGATGATAAAGAACACTGGCTGATGATAAAGAACACAGGCTGATGACAAAGAAACCAGCTGATGACAAAGAACACTGGCTGTTGACCACACACAAAAACTAATTGATGGCAAAGAACAATGGCTGATGACAAAGAACAATGGCTGATGACAAAGAACACTGGCAGTTGAGAAAAAAAACACAGGCTGATGACACAGAAAACTGGTCAAATGGCAACTAAAGAGACATGCCCAGGAGGAGATCAAAGTACTTATGGTCATGTCCCATGTGCAATGAAAATGATCTTTAAATGAACAATAAAGAAGTCAGTTATACTTCTTCACCAACTGTAACTCTTGTGAAAAGTCCATCATCATCATCATCAGCATCCACATCCTAATCATCAATTATCATTAGCACCCACATCCTAATCATCAATCATCATCAGCATCCACATCCTAATCACCAGCATCATCATCAGTATCCACATCCTAATCATCAATCATCATCAGTATCCACATCCTAATCATCAATCATCATCAGTATCCACATCCTAATCATCAATCATCATCAGCATCCACATCCTATTCACTAGCATCATCATCAGTATCCACATCCTAATCACTAGCATCATCATCAGTATCCACATCCTAATCACTAGCATCATCATCAGTATCCACATCCTAATCACTAGCATCATCATCAGTATCCACATCCTAATCACTAGCATCATCATCAGTATCCACATCCTAATCACTAGCATCATCATCAGTATCCACATCCTAATCATCAATCATCATCAGCATCCACATCCTATTCACTAGCATCATCATCAGCATCCACATCCTAATCACTAGCACCATCATCAGCATCCACATCCTAATCACTAGCATCATCATCAGTATCCACATCCTAATCATCAGTCATCATCAGCATCTACATCCTAATCTGACATTACAAGATTTGCTGCCATACAGCAGAACAGGTCCTAGTAACATTTTAGCACCCTTTTTCAAGTACCTATATTTAGACAAATTCATTAGTTTCTGTAGAATTATGTCTCAGAAATTTCCTAATGAGTTATCTTTTTTCTTCTTCTTCAAGTTCAATGGCTGTCAACTCTGGTGGAAAGTTCTGGTTGTTCATCCACCTCTGGACTTTAGACTTGTTCCAGGACCTGCGTGTTGCGTGCACATCCATTCCACAGATCTGACTTACCTGTGTGCAGACTGTTAGTTCCTTGCTTCTCAGGCAGATGCACTCCAGCTTAGAAGGAAACCACCAAATAGTCTACTCTTATGACATGCTTGGAGGCAGTGGGTCTATTCTTGTTTTCCCCAAAGTGGGGCCCTGAAACCCGCATGCAGTTTCATAATTCCGATTTAGTTGCAGATGATTTAGCAGTAGCTTGCTTCTGTGTTGATTTGGACAATTGTATGGGAGTTGAACAGTTTAGAAAGCAACGGTAAACTACTGAACTTAAACCCGCCTGATAAAACCACAAACAGCTAACAAATTGCTGGGAAAGGCGCGCAACATCCTATAAAGGATATACAACGTATCTACACATATATCGCCAGTGAACGCCAAAAATAAAATATGAGTACTTTGCCAAAGCCACCTAGATACTTAATCATTATAATGAGTAGCAAGTGAAAAAATTTCACATTCTTCATACGTTGTCCAATGGCAGAGCGCTAAGATTTCTTGAAGCCGCCAAGATTTTAATCTCTGGCCAGAACTTTGTAAATAGCAAGACATAATAGTGACCCTGCGATTGGTCAAACAGGCAGTTTGAGTGTGGTTGAATTTGTACTTCAGTTATAAAGGATTTACTTATCCGCTTTATTTTTCTAATTGTAGCATGCATCTGACGAGATGCAGTGAAATATGCCAGGCAATAAATTGTGCATTCTGTTGTTTGTGCCTTCTTTGTATTAAAACTGGGAAGTTGCATGAAAAGAATAGTTGAGTTTGACCTATCTAGGGAAAGAATTCACTTGTGTGCCTCTGGCGTGTTGTATAGTGACAAATAACAGCCCTGAAAAATGCACTTAGGTGGGAATCGCCAGAACTGCACTAAAGTGACTTTTGTGCCGTGCGGATATGCTGTTATAGATCACATATTATGTAATATATGGGAGCTTTAGTGGTGTAGCAGCTAGACTATTGCCTGTGGATCCAAAGGTCATGGGTTCCGGTCGAGCTAATGAAACCAGACTTTTTTTTTTTTTATGACCATGGTTCCCACATCGAACCAGCCTTAAGTGGGTACCAGGTAATGAGCTGAGAAGTAAAGATGGCTGGCGAGACACTGACCATATCACCCACCAAGTGCCAATTGGTCCATAAAAAATTGGTCTAGCCCAATATGTTTGAAGACGTAGAAAATTTTTTAAAAACTTTTTATGTAATATATGACAGAACACAAGGAAGACGTTGATGATAATTGCGCTTTGCATTTTAAATGACAGTTTGCAGCAAATACTTACAACTGGGCCGAAGGAGTTAAAGCCAAACACCAGAACGAGGAAGAGAACCAGGTCGCAGAAAAACATTGGGGTATACATATCTGTGGTGGCACTGTAGTGTGCTTGAGTGACCTCTCGGAAGAAATTGGCAAATGGGTTGAGCACAAAATACATCCTGGAATGGACAAGACACGCTCAATGAAAACCTGGCAGAAGTGATGCACAAGCAAATGATGCCTCTGCATGATTCATTCATTCATTCATTGAATCAAGTTCAACCCCACTACGACGAGCGATAAACACTCGGTGACCCAAAGTGCCATCATTTGGATGGGGATCACCCAGGCAGAAGTCCCACAAACCCTGTTATGACACCCGACTACAGGGACTTTAAAAGACGAAAAATTGCATCCCACATTGGGACGGCATGTTTTGTTCATTCTTTCATTGTCCTGTTGTGTCTTTATATGTCATGTAGGGCTAAGCAGAATTCCATACAATCCGGTGCAAACACTTCTAATTCATGGATGGAATCCAGACAAACACCTTTGGCCTCTCTCACCAACCTCTGATTTAGTGTTTATCTTGAATATTTCCATTTCCTCAATCCCACTGGTTCCCATTTCAATGCCTGTTTGGTGATTCTCTGTTTGTCTCTTTTCAGACTGTGTCCAATACAAGGCCATCTTCTCTGTCTTATAGCTTGAGACTAGATGTTGCTCAGACATTTCTCTTTTTTCTTTCTTCACCACTCTTGAATTTAACCCATTTTATGTTTTCTAAGGCATTTGTTCTAAATGCATTTAACTTCTATTCAATTTTAACTTCTGTTCAATTTTAACTTGTGTTCAATTTTAACTTCAGTTCAATTTTGACTTGTTTGATTTAAACTTCTGTTCAATTTTAACTTCTGTTCAATTTTAACTTCTGTTCAATTTTAACTTCTGTTCAATTTCTTTAGTGGTTCTCCAATTGGCACGGGCATAAGTTAAAACTGAAATAATATTGTAACTGAAAATATGTACCTTGGTTATAAAAGTATATAAATTTGAATTCAAAAATTGGGTTTAAGTTTTTTAAAGCTGTTAATGTCTTTTTATTTCTTCATGTTTCCTTGACTACTGTTTTCTTCTTCGCATTCACTGACGGTAAACTCTGGCAGAAAGACCTGGTTGTTTGTTCACTTTTGGGCTTTTGGTGAGTTTTTGTGTGCACATCTGTTTCACGGAGCTGGCTTACTTGTACACAGACTGTTTGTTCCTCAACTCTTAGGCAGATGCACTCTTAAGGAAACACCTTAAGTAGTGGCCTTTTAGGACATGCTTGTTAGGGAGGCAGTGGGTGTATTCTTTCTTTCCTCCACAATGGGTCCCAGGAACCCACACAGGAAACCTTGACTTTCAATATTACTGCCTTAAAAAGGTAAACTGATGTGTTACTTTACATGACTATGTGTTGATTATCCTTCAACTGTTAGAATATCATATAACTTACAAAATAGTGGGGCCTTTGCCAAGTAGTCTGACTATGGAGGCGATGACGGTAACAAAAGCAAGATTTGGCTAGAGACACAGCAAGTTTTTCTATGTGTGCTTTCTAAGTGATTCTTTGAGGATGCTTTAGAAGACTGAGACATGACGTATTCGAAGAAAATGGTTGAAGTCGCTGAGGAAATCTGGTCTGAAAAGAATTTGTTTCATTTTGTGCCAGGACACTCTGGGGTAAGAGGGCACGAATGGGCTGATTGGCTTGCTGGCAGGGCCTAGGAAGGTACAGGAAAAGCAATGGACCAGGTTCGACATTCTCAGTGCTCTCAAGGAGGCAGGAAGAGAAAAGGATTCCGGAGACGACGTAAATCAGCATCATTTAAAAGACTACAATAACTTCAGGTCAAAAGAGGTGTCGCCAATCATGAACACTACACAGGCAGCCAAAGAAGAATAGTAAACCAACACAGAAACTGGCATTATCAGTCACCAGACAATGAGGGATATGCTGAAGATGGGATCCGAGCGTTTATGGACTTGTTTGATGTGCAGCGAGGATAATCTGTTGATTAACTAACTAACGTTATCACATAACAAAGAAAGACACAAATAATAGATCACACAATTTATAGCCTGTCATATTTTGCTGCATCTTGTCAGGTGACTACTGCAGTAACTAAACAAATGAAGCAAATGAATGAAACCTTCTAGCTGAAAGACAAAATCCAAACCATACCAACACTGTATTGTTAAAGAGGAGAGACAGAAATGCTCATCAAAACATCTCAGCACCATATTATAACAGAGAACAGTCTATGTAAGTAAAGGACCTTTTCTCCGCCTTCAGGCCTATTGGGGATATAGGGCTAGACCTATATTTTAAAGATCAATCAGCACTCGGGGGGAGATATGGTCAGCATGACGTTGGCCATCTTTACTTTCCAGGACTGCACCTGGTGCCACTCAAGGCTGGGTCAACCTGGCAGCCAAGTTAATTTTTGTTAAGATAGCCCAATTCCGCCAGGACTCAAACCAACAACCTTCATATCCACAGGGGAGCAACTAGCCGCTACACCATGGCAACTCCCAAAACATCTCAATAACATGTTGTAAAAGAGGACAGACAGAAATAGACAGAAATACTCAACAAAGCATCTCAGCTCTATATTATAACATAGAACAGTCTATGAGTGGCAGACATACGAAAGGAATATCAGCCCATCTTGTACCGAAGGACAGATATCCTATGAAGGACAACACTATAGGCACAGTGACACTGGACTCACCCATTCCAAAACCTGGAGTTGACCCCAGTTTCCTTGTAACTCTCCAACTGCTCAGATTCAGTGTAGTAAGAGTCATCAGTGGAACTCTGCACAGACGCCAAAGAAACCAATGGTTAACTTATGCTTGATGAGAAGCCAGTTCTCCGTGTGGGTTCATGGACCCCATTTTGGAAAGGGGTGGGGGGAAGGAGGTGAGGGAAAGAATAATAGACCCCCCCACCCCCAAACAAGCATGTTGTAACTCAGGGCTATTCAATTAGGTTTACAGAGGGGCAAACATTTTGAAATTCAGGATTGCCATGGGCCAAAGTCAAAGACCCATAGAAATATCAGTAATAATATACTACTGGTAATGACTTTAGGGCCACTTGCTAGACCCTAGTGGGCCACTTGCTAGAACTCAGCGAGCCACTTGCTAGACCTCAGTGGGCCACTTGCTAGACCTCAGCGGGCCACTTGTTAGACCTCAGCAGGCCACTTGCTAGATCTCAGCCGGCCACTTGCTAGATCTCAGCGGGCCGCTTGCTAGATCTCAGCCGGCCACTTACTAGATCTCAGCGGGCCGCTTGCTAGATCTCAGCCGGCCACTTACTAGATCTCAGCCGGCCACTTACTAGATCTCAGCCGGCCACTTGCTAGACCTCAGCAGGCCGCCAGATGAACAGCCCTGTCGTAAAAGGCGACTAATTAGTGGTGTTTCCTTTGAATCAGAGTACATCTGTCTGAGAGGCAAGGAACCAGCAGTCTGCACACACAAAAAAGCCAGATGTGTAAAATGGATGTGCACGCAAAGCTCAAGTTCTGGAACAAGACCAGAGTCCAGAAGCGGACGAACAACCAGAAGTTCCTGCCATGGTTTACAGTGGGTGAACACTATGAAGATGAAAACTAACCAGTTTCTGATGTTGATTTCTTTAACTTTAATGTAGAAGACCAGCACATGACAATGACCCCCCCCCCCCCCCCCCCCCCCCCCCCCGCCCCGAGTCAAGATGTGATGTACAACTAACTGTCTCTTCATTTGGAATCCTAAAAACTCATTTCCTCATCTTGAGGAGAACTGGGCATAACATACTCAGTGAACCTGATGTGGTTACAAACAGTCTGTCAAAGAAGTCAAGCTGTTTTAACATTTCTTACTTCACTCATTCCGCAGTATCAAATCTGTTGGGCTGGTCATGTGGCACGCAAGCCAGATCACAGGCTTCCAAAAAAACTCTTCTATGGTGAACAACAAAATGGGAAACGTTCCCAAGGCAGGCAAAAGAAACACTTTAAGGACACCTTGAAGTCTTCACTGAAAGCATTTGGAATAAATGAACCAATTGGGAGGCTGCCTCTCAAGACCAAAATGCACGGCGTGCAGCTCTAAAAAAGGGCGTGGCTACATGTGAAGCAAACAGAACAGCAAGACTGATTAAGAAAAGGATGGACAGAAAGGTGACTGCAGGAGATCCACTCCCTGACACAATGCTCTTTCCCTGTCCTCACTGTCCAAGAACTTTTCGGGCCCGCATCGGCCTTATCAGTCATCTTCGTACTCATACTTGATGAAAAAGAGTGGTCATCATCATCTTAATGGACAACACACACACTCCATAATAGATTTTTTTTTTTTTAACAGATAACAAAATGTTGTTCCTCTTTGATGCATGTCAAACGTGGGGTGGCCATCTTCAAACTGTCATAATGGCTGGGTCTCCTTCTTATCCTAACATGAACGAAAAAAATGATGACTTTGATGTTTGTGAACAGAATCAGCATTTACTTAACAATTTGCTCTGTGACATGGCAAACAAGTACTGGACTAACTTACATCTGACAGAGTTTTCTCCATGACACCTGCAGCTTCCATATCTGCTGTAATGTCGGCAGCATCTCTCCACAGTCCATATTTCTGAAGATGGGAAACAAAACAAAGAAAGCTGTACTAATATAACACTGACACACAGACAACTAATGGAAAGGATGGTAGAATTCAATAAAGAATTACATGTGAACATTCTGCTAACGGAGGTGCAGTTATCTATACTGACGGATCGGTCGTTTGACAGGTACAAAGTTCATGGACTTTCCTGGTTCTGGTTCAAGGGAAAACTTGGAAAAAGATAGCGAGCTTTTGCCTCTACTACAAGTAGTCTGACTATGGAGGTGATGGAAGTAGCAAAAGCAATGATGTGGCTAGAGACATAGCATTTTTCTCATGCATGCTTTCTCAGTGATTCAATGAGCATGCTCAAAAAGAAAGAGACGGAATGGATTTGAAGAAAATGGTTGGAGTTGCTGAGGAAATTTCATCTGAAAGGAATTAGTTTTATTTTGTTGCAAGGACACTCTGTGGTAAGAGGGAATGAACGAGCAGATTGGCTTGCTGGCAGGGCCACGGTAGGTACAGGAACTGCAATGGACGGAGCTGTCATTCTCGGTGCTCTCAAGGAGGCAGGACGAGAAGATGATTCAAGAGAGGCTGTACAAGAACTTCAGGTCAAAAAAGGTGTCGCCAAACATAAACATTATATAGGCAGCCAAAGAAGAATAGTAAACCAATGCAGAACTGGTGTTATCAGTTGCCACATGCTGAGGGATATACTGAAGATGGGATCTGAGCACTTATGGACATGTCTGACGTGCAATGAGAATAATCTTTTGATTAACTAACTGACTAACTTAAACGTAAAAACTGAGTGCAGTTAGAACAAACACAGGAATGTCAGAGAAGTTCAAGATTTGACTTGGAGTGACAGGGGTATGTATAATGATCACTATTGTTCATCCCATACATCAACCGAATTTGCAAATCAGCCAGTACCACCAAAGGGGCCAATGACCAGGCACTCAGAGCACCAACAGCAGTACAACTACGAGATTATATTAAACATACTGCACTCAGCATGTGACAACTATGATATGAAATAATGTAGACAAAACAGAAGTGATACCACTCATCAGAAAAGGAAGAACCAACAACATACAAATTGATAAACATCAGTTAAAGCAGATAAAAGACTTCACACATCTAAGGAGAATTTTTTCAGAAACTTGAAGATTGAATAAATACAACAAACATGCAATAAAGCCCGTCAAGTAATAGGACAAATGCCACCAGTATTTAAATGCAAGCATATGAATATGAACACTAAAAGAGTACTGTTTCACACAGTATTCTTAACAATGCTATGCTATCAGTGTCAAACATTGACACTGCTTTCAGAAGACAGATGAAAAAAGGTCACAACAGATATAAAACATTTACGTGCTAGCTTTAACAAGGAAAGATGTGCAATGTTATACAGATACAGTGGCAACCATAGTTTGGCCACACAGAAGATGAACCGCAGAAATGTCACAGACACTGAAAAGCACTATGTATGAAGCTAACAAAAGGGCCCATTCCAGAGACCTCTCCTGCCCTGATGCTGCGAAGCATTCCAGTAGATAAAAGAAGAAGAAAAAAGATACAAACTTCTTCTTCACGTTCACCAGCTGTAAACTCCAGTGGAAATTCCTGGTTGTTCGTCCACTTCCAAAATTCAAATTTTTAAAAACTGTGATGCATTGCTGTCTGTAGCACTATGACCAAAACCACTTCTAAATGGTCAAAGGGAAGGAAATCAGTTTATTATTTGTTCCTCTCTGTTTGTATTCAATGATTACTTCCCTTGACCTAAAAATTAACATTTTCATGGTTTATATATTTAGTGACCTGGAAAAAAAATTATTTTTGTTTAGTGACATGATGTCAACGAAGACTCAGAGGACTTCAGACATTTTTCATGAATTCCTACCCATTGTTCCATTTTTGATACTTGCTCGCCTGCAGTCAGCCCATCTTTTTGTTCTTTTTTTTTTTTTTTTACTAGTCGTCCCCTCATGGGATGCAATTTTTTTGTTTGAAGCCCCAACTTGGCTTCTGCCGGGGGCCCTGAATATAGCCAGGGCATAGATATGGCCTAGCCATAGATATGGCCTAACGGCAGAAAGGGGTTTCTGAGACCTCTCCACAGGTGATCCTCATCCGAATGGTGGCACATTGTGTCACCAGGTGTTTATCGCTTGTGTGATGTCCTGGTGGGGACAAGTAAAAAAATATAATATAAATATAAATAAATATAAATAATATAAATTTTACCTTTTTTTTTTGTTTTTCAAAATACATTCAGTGATCCATAATTTTTATCTGCAGTGTTTACTTAAAGTTTATGTAAAGTTCACTTGAGGTCACCCCTACTATCAAACCTCTATGGAGAAACAACATCCCATGGCTTACAGTCAAATCTCTATGGAGACAAAACATCCAACGGCTTACAGTCAAATCTCTATGGATTGTCCAACAGCTTACTAACCTCTAAGAAGACAAAACATCCAATGATTTACAGTCCAAACCTCTATGGAAACAAATCATCCAACGGCCTTCTATGGAGATAAAACATCCAACAAATTACAGAAAAACCATCTTCCATAATTTTGTATTGAATTCTACCGTCTTTTCCACTAGTTGTCTAAGACAAAATATCCAATGACTTACAGTCAAACCTCTATGGAGACAAAACATCCAATGATTCACAGTCACACCTCTAAGGAAACAAAACATCAAACGGTTTACAGTCAAACCTCTAAGGAGACAAAACATTAAACGGTTTACAGTCAAACCTCTAAGGAGACAAAACATCCAACAGCTTACCCTTAAAATGGAGCGGTGAAGAAAGAGTGCCAGCAGTAAGGCAATGTCCACATTGGCATAGTTGGCAGCCTTTTCTATGCCCATGATACGAGGTGGGAAGAACGGGCTGTCCTTGTTGGTGATGTCATTCCAGGGGAAAAAGGCAAACTGGTAGAAGTACTTGCAGACAACCATTGACTAGGGAAGGATGTTGATAAAGAACATGTTAGCAAGATGTCACTACAGACTACTCTTTCCCGAAGCTTGTATGGTTTGTCTTCTTCTACTTCAGCATTCCAAACCCCCTGAGGTTCACTGCTGCAGACATTTATCTCTGTGACAGGTCTTCTTTTTCCAGTTGGTGACTCTCAATGTTTGTCAATCTTCCTGTATCCCTCCCTTTTCTTCTTGGTCTGCCTCATGGTCTACTCTCATTCAACTCTTTTGTGCATGCAATTTATGTCTCCATGCTATCTGCCATTCTTTCCATGTGCCAGAACCATTGCAGTAAACACGCCTTCAGTATGCTGGTAACTGGTGGAGAGTTAAACAGATTTTAGATTTTATTCTGCTTCTCACTCTCTGTTCTCTGCTGTTTACTTCTCTGATGCGTCCAAAGATTCATTGTAAGATCCTTTCTCAACAGTTTGTGATAAGGCTTCATCTCTTTCAGTACAAAATCTTTGCCGTCAAGGTAGGCGCAAGAGGACTTATCTCTACCTATGCATACAATGTAATTAAGCAGCTGGGCTTGAGAGGAAGAGAGTGTAAACAGGCACAAAAACAACTGGGCAAAGAGGCTGAAAGGGCTTTGAGCTGGTTGTAGACTCAACAGAATGTCGTGGGGGATAGGTCCGGGTAGACTGGTCCAAACATCTAGTGAAAAAAGAGCTTATCATCCTTAAAAGCCAAAGTGACCGATAAATGTCTGCCAATGTCTTTCTCAAATTTGCCAAAGTCTAACATCTGTCCGATGAACCGACCGTAAGCTTGTCACTCTGGTTGTGAAGGTAGGCGGCTAATTTGCTACCGAAGGGACAATATATAACACAAAATCTCACAATATCTGTTGCAAAGTCACCTTTTTGTCTTGTCCTGTCCAAATGTCCAGTAAATTGCAGCAGGAGATGTCTGAGGCCTAGCTTCATGAACCAGGTCAGCACACCTTCTGTGAGTGTCTAGGGAGCTAATGGGCTGAAACAATTGTCGACGAAGGACCTTTCTACTGATGATTGGTGGATTCCCCCCCCCCCTCCCCCCTGCTGTGCAAGTTCCCCAGGTTTCAGAGCTGTATGAACAAGCTCATTGTTTTCACTGTGCCTCAGTATCTTTTTTTTCCTTCTGCTTGTGCCCTGAAAAGGAAGTTGGCACTGTGTGTTGTGGTTTACATAAGATTTGCATCTTCTGGCCCAAAACAGGAGATTTCAGCCATGCCCTAATTAGAAATTCAAAACAGTGTTTTTCCCGTTGTAAATTAAAATAATACGGACACAAATAATACGCTGCAGCCATTTATTGGCTGGCATATTTTGCTGTATAAATTTGAAGTTATCCTTTCCTCGCCTTCAGGCATACTGATCATACAGGACTAGACCTGTATTTTATAGACCAATCTGCACTTGGTGTGTGTGTTAACATCCCACTGGCACAGCCACACACAATGTACCATGTGGTGTTTGTGTCCACATGATTTAAACCCCCTACCTTATTTCCCCAACTATAAGATGGGTCACTGATGTTCAACCCCACCAGGACGGCACAATCAGTGATAAACACTCGGTGACACAAAGTGCCACCATTCAGAAGAGAATCACCCGGTCACAAGTCATTCAACTGTTAGGTTATATTAGGGCCCCCCCACCCCCCCCCCCCCCCCCCCCCCCCCCCCCCCCCACCCCCGAGAACATCCAGAGTGGGGCTTTAAAATAATAAAACAATTGGTGTCCTATGTTAATGCTGCGTCGGCTCTGTGGCTAAGTCGATGCGAACGCTTGCTAATGCCGGGGTACCGGGTTTGATCCCAGCTGCGGGCCATACGCCTTGTGTTGGTTTCGACAGTGGTATCAGGGAGCCGACCGTCCAGAAAGCAATGGCAAACTACTGGATGTAAATTTGCCTAGTGAAACCACACAACAGCCAGGGACTGATGGGGTTGGTTCTGCAACGTCCTGTAAAGGATACGCAACTTACCTTTTTTAGGTAAAGATATTAATGCTGAGTGTGCTAAACTAACTATTAGATGCACTTATCTTAAACAAATGTAGGTTCTAAAATCAGTGTACATCTTATACAATGGTAATACATCCTTAGGCAATAATATTTTTATTATAATTATAATTTTTTTTTTTTCAATTTCAGGTCCCAAAATTAAGATGGATCTTTTACAAGGGGGGTCATTTTATATTTGGAGAATTACGGGTCACCTTCTAAAATATGCTTGACGATATGTCTTGTAATATTTTACCTTAAAACACAACCCCCAAACCCCCACCGGAAGTACCTCTGTGTAAGTGATCACCGCGACCCAGAAAGTCTTCGAAGGACGAGGCACTGACAGCATCCCCCACAGGAAGACCATCAACGGCAGCGGCAGCGACAGAAGGCTGCTGTAGATCATGTGGTCCAGGATCATCAGGAAGTAGCACAACAGCTGAGACTGGGACGCCAGGACCATTCCTCCGGACACCATCAGCCGATTAAAGCGCTGGGTGTTGTCAGTAAACTGCTGTTTCATTTCTTCCGCATCTTGCCTTTCTAATTCATCAAAGCTGTTGGAAATCAATAGTTTGTGTTTTTAATGAACTATGTGCAACACTTTTGAGGTGAAATGCTGCAGAAAGCTTCGCAGAATACCAGGGACAAAGAAGACAAGAAAAACGGACATCATAAAAGATCTGAACATCAAGTCCTCCCAGACTGGACAGGAGAGAATGTGAATATGAGGGAGAGATGAAATGTTATATTAGAATAGACATGTTTGGTGTTATTGGAATAGACATGTTTGGTGTAAGTCTAGATACTCCACACATGCGCTTGTTTCTTTACCACAGTTCCCACATTGGGCAGGGACAAGTCGGCATTCATTCTTTGCCGACCGTCTGTGTGTAACGACCTGCTTGAAGCAGCGAAGACAAAAAAACTGGAAAAGGATAGGTAGGGTCTCAAACTGAGAACTGTCGAATGTTTAATTTCTCCAATTTATGAGTTATGTATAACTTTCATATGAATTAATTTCACCAGCAACACCATCTTCACTCTACTAGCCTAAACACGTTCATTTTATTTTTGGTTAGATTTATTCAATAAATCTTGTTCATGTTGTTATAAAATAGTTGAGTAAATTATGTACTTAGGTTCAAGTGTCTTTGTGCAGACTCTGACCAGCTCACAAACATGTGAATCACTTGATGGGGGCTTTTGTTACAAATTAATACCAGGAGAGGAGAAAGTCGAAGGTGTTAACTGTGTATCTTGATATTATCTCATTGGGTTCATCTTGATATCTATCTATCCCTTCTCCTACTCCTGTGGATACAAGTACAGCTACTTTAATTTGATGGAACGAGCCACTCACTGTTTTCTTGGTTATCCAGGACTGTCTAGGATCAACATAGCTCAAATATTAGTCCAGTTTCTCACGTGGGTGGGCACTGTTAGGGTTCTAACCCACAAACTCACTCTTTAAGTGTATATACCCACGTGGGTTCGCGACAAGCCCAAACTTATGAAAACGGATCACAGGGGCCAGAAGCCCAAACTTGTGAAAACTGGGATCACATGGGCCAGAAGCCCAAACTTGTGAAAACTGGGATCACATGGGCCAGAAGCCCAAACTTGTGAAAACTGGGATCACACGGGCCAGAAGCCCAAACTTGTGAAAACTGGGATCACATGGGCCAGAAGAACAAACTTGTGAAAACTGGGATCACGTGGACCAGAAGCCCAAACTTGTGAAAACTGGGATCACATGGGCCAGAAGCCCAAACTTGTGAAAACTGGGATCACATGAACCAAAAGCCCAAACTTGTGAAAACTGGGATCACATGGGCCAGAAGCCCAAACTTGTGAAAACTGGGATCACATGGACCAGAAGTTTAAACTTGTGAAAACTGGGATCACATGGGCCAGAAGTTTAAACTTATGAAAACTGGGATCACATGGACCAGAAGCCCAAACTTGTCAAAACTGGGATCACATGGGCCAGAAGCCCAAACTTGTGAAAACTGGGATCACATGAACCAGAAGTTTAAACTTGTGAAAACTGGGATCACATGGGCCAGAAGTCCAAACTTGTGAAAACTGGGATCACATGGGCCAGAAGAACAAACTTGTGAAAACTGGGATCACATGGGCCAGAAGTCCAAACTTGTGAAAACTGGGATCACATGGGCCAGAAGAACAAACTTGTGAAAACTGGGATCATGTGGACCAGAAGCCCAAACTTGTGAAAACTGGGATCACATTGGCCAGAAGAACAAACTTGTGAAAACTGGGATCATGTGGACCAGAAGCCCAAACTTGTGAAAACTGGGATCACATGGGCCAGAAGAACAAACTTGTGAAAACTGGGATCATGTGGACCAGAAGCCCAAACTTGTGAAAACTGGGATCACATGGGCCAAAAGCCCAAACTTGTGAAAACTGGGATCACATGAACCAGAAGTTTAAACTTGTGAAAACTGGGATCACATGGGCCAGAAGTCCAAACTTGTGAAAACTGGGATCACATGGGCCAGAAGTTTAAACTTATGAAAACTGGGATCACGTGGACCAGAAGTTTAAACTTATGAAAACTGGGATCACATGGGCCAGAAGTTTAAACTTATGAAAACTGGGATCACATGGACCAGAAGCCCAAACTTGTCAAAACTGGGATTACATGGGCCAGAAGCCCAAACTTGTGAAAACTGGGATCACATGAACCAGAAGTTTAAACTTGTGAAAACTGGGATCACATGGGCCAGAAGTCCAAACTTGTGAAAACTGGGATCACATGGGCCAGAAGAACAAACTTGTGAAAACTGGGATCACATGGGCCAGAAGTCCAAACTTGTGAAAACTGGGATCACATGGGCCAGAAGAACAAACTTGTGAAAACTGGGATCATGTGGACCAGAAGCCCAAACTTGTGAAAACTGGGATCACATGGGCCAGAAGAACAAACTTGTGAAAACTGGGATCATGTGGACCAGAAGCCCAAACTTGTGAAAACTGGGATCACATGGGCCAGAAGAACAAACTTGTGAAAACTGGGATCATGTGGACCAGAAGCCCAAACTTGTGAAAACTGGGATCACATGGGCCAAAAGCCCAAACTTGTGAAAACTGGGATCACATGAACCAGAAGTTTAAACTTGTGAAAACTGGGATCACATGGGCCAGAAGTCCAAACTTGTGAAAACTGGGATCACATGGGCCAGAAGTTTAAACTTATGAAAACTGGGATCACGTGGACCAGAAGTTTAAACTTATGAAAACTGGGATCACGTGGACCAGAAGTTAAAACTTATGAAAACTGGGATCACGTGGACCAGAAGCCCAAACTTGTGAAAACTGGGATCACATGGGCCAAAAGCCCAAACTTGTGAAAACTGGGATCACATGAACCAGAAGCCCTAACTTGTGAAAACTGGGATCACATGGGCCAGAAGTTTAAACTTGTGAAAACTGGGATCACATGGGCCAGAAGTCCAAACTTGTGAAAACTGGGATCACATGGGCCAGAAGCCCAAACTTGTGAAAACTGGGATCACATGGGCCAGCAGCCCAAACTTGTGAAAACTGGGATTACATGGGCCAGAAGCCCAAACTCGAGCGTAGACAGATCATTAATACAACTCAGCAGGCAATGCTCCGCCGGCCACTTACTAGACCTCTGCAGGCCAGATGTGGCTAGCAGGCCGCCAGCTGAATGACCCTGCTGTAAAGAACATGCAGCTAATTAAAGGGGTTTATATGCCCCCTTTAACCATATACAGAGATGATCTTTTGTTCATAATGTCATATTACTCATGTACATTATTTTATTTATATGCAATTCGAATAACTTATTCAGTATTTGCTGAAAATGGGTGTGTTGGGCCAAGAAGTTAAGATATTACAGCCTTGCTGTAAACCACGACACAGTGTGTACCATGTGTACAAATTGTACTTTTAAGGGCATGCGAAGAAGAAGAAGAAGAAGAAGAAGAAGAAGAAGAAGAGGAGGAGGAGAAGGAGGAGGTGAAGGAAGAAGATAAGGAAGAAGAGGGTGGAAGAGGAGAAGAAAGAGGAAGAGAATGAGGAGAGAAACTGAAGATGAGTAGGAGGAGAAAGAAGAAGAAGATGTAGGAGGAGGAGAAGAACAAGATGGAGGAGGAGGAGGAGGAGAATAAGAAGGAAGAGGAGAAAAATGAGGAGGAGAAGGAGGAGGAAGAGAAGAAAAAGCAGGAGAAGAAGAAGGGGAAGCCTAAGGAGACCCGTGTATTCAATAACCTCACCTGAGAACACTGCGAGACTGAGACTTCAGCATTGCCTCGCTATAAATATTTAAATAATCCAGATTGTTCAGGAGTTCGCTCAGTCTGTCAACAAAAAAAACAAGCCAAAATAAAAGTCAGCTTGCCAGCATAGGTTTGGCTACATGCTGTTTACAAATATGCACAGGGGCAATTTTGTTGTTGTTGCCAGAATTGACCTTAGCTCCCAGGTCAATGCAGTCTAAAAAAGGTACCAGGTCATGTCCTGGGAAGTAAAGGTGACCATCTTGATGGTGAACACATCACATAACAAGTTCTGATTTTTCTATACAATTACAAGTCACAGGCCCAATACATCACAGATAACAGGGACCTTGGGTTACTTTTTACATGCTCTTTGGGAATCCACACTCTTAAACAGATGAGGAACCTTTGAGGCTGTAAATGCAGTATCTTACAACTCATGTGTCTGTTCACACAGCCATCAGCTCATCACACATTTCCTTGTTCACACAGATGACAGCTCATCACACATTTCCTTATTCACACAGACAGCAGCTCATCACACATGTCTTTGTTCACACAGCCAGCAGCTCATCACACATGTCTTTGTTCACACAGCCAGCAGCTCATCACACATTTCTTTGTTCACACAGCCCACAGCTCATCACACATTTCCTTATTCACACAGCCAGCAGCTCATCACACATTTCTTTGTTCACACAGCCCACAGCTCATCACACATTTCCTTGTTCACACAGCCCACAGCTCATCACACATTTCCTTGTTCACACAGACAGCAGCTCATCACACATTTCTTTGTTCACACAGATGGCAGCTCATCACACATTTCTTTGTTCACACAGATGACAGCTCATCACATATTTCCTTGTCCACATAGCCCACAGCTCATCACACATTTCCTTGTTCACACAGATGGCAGCTCATCACACATTTCTTTGTTCACACAGATGGCAGCTCATCACACATTTCTTTGTTCACACAGCCCACAGCTCATCACACATTTCCTTGTTCACACAGACAGCAGCTCATCACACATTTCTTTGTTCACACAGACAGCAGCTCATCACACATTTCTTTGTTCACACAGACAGCAGCTCATCACACATTTCTTTGTTCACACAGACAGCAGCTCATCTCACATTTCCTTGTTTACACAGACAGCAGCTCATCACACATTTCTTTGTTCACACAGATGGCAGCTCATCACACATTTCCTTGTTCACACAGACAGCAGCTCATCACACATTTCCTTGTTCACACAGACAGCAGCTCATCACACATTTCCTTGTTCACACAGACAACAGCTCATCACACATTTCTTTGTTCACACAGCCAGCAGCTCATCACACATTTCCTTGTTCACACAGATGGCAGCTCATCACACATGTCTTTGTTCACACAGACAGCAGCTCATCACACATTTCCTTGTTCACACAGATGGCAGCTCATCACACATGTCTTTGTTCACACAGACAGCAGCTCATCACACATTTCTTTGTTCACACAGACAGCAGCTCATCACACATTTCCTTGTTCACACAGACAACAGCTCATCACACATTTCTTTGTTCTCATATACAATAGCTCACCACACGTGATACACTAATAGGTAGAGTTTAAACTCACACAAATGGCTCCCCAGAGCGTCTACTGCGCTTGAATATCTGCAAAGACATAATGTACAATATCACTGCAATATTGCATAGTGTCAATTTATCCACAACAGATATAAGGAGAATTCATCTGAAACCCACGTCAATTGCTTTGTGACAAAAGCATCAAAGAAACATCATCAGGTGTGACAGAGTCAAACAAAGCATTCAATGTGAATTAATTATGCACCATGGATTGATTAGAAAAAAAAAATCACCTTAAAAAAAATATCCAATTAGGTAGGCCGTGAATGTAGTTTGCAAAAAATAAAAGGATTTTTGTTACATCCTGAACCAATTGTTCAAGACATCATTATGTCTGCAACTGTGAAATTGTTGCCCTTTGAGAGGTTTTTTTTTAGGTCTGAACAAATGAAAAACACATTGTGACATATCAGGACTATAGGCTGGATGTTGCCAAATTGCCCATTTCTTCTATGCTACTGTTATCTGCACAATCTTTGCAACATGCGGATGAGCACTATCATGTAACAAATCACACAGCGAAAGAGTATGCCAGGACATTTATTCCAATGGCTTTATGCAGCTTTTCTAGAATTTCCAAGCAGTGGATAGAGTTGAGTCGACTCTGTGGCTAAGTCGATGTGAACGCTTCGTAATGCTGGGGTCGTACCCCAGCTGTGGGCTATGTGCCTTGCGTTGGTTTCGACAGTGGTATCAGGGGGCCGACCGTCCAGAAGGCAATGGCAAACTACTGGACGCAAATTTGCCTAGAGAAACCACACAAGAGCCAGGGGCTGCTGGGGTTGGTTCTGCAACGTCCTGTAAAGGATACGCAACTAACCTTGTTGTTCGATAGAGTTGATGTTGATACCAGGTCCTTTAAAATCTGCCAACAACAGCCCTTCACGGTAGAACAGAAAAATGTATTCAGTATAATCTTACCACCAGAAGCCTGTACACTGAATTGTTTAGCTTTTGATGATCCAGCATGCTTCTCTTTCTCTAACTGCTCAGCTAGAAGGGCCGACACCAGGATTCATTGCCAACAGCTATATAGAGGACAAATGCATCAACCTAGGCTTTGTAATGCTGCAAGAGGTTAAATACCATCCCATCTGTTCCTTCTTTTGGTGGCTGGTCAACATCCATGATACCTAAGTTCTTATGTATAACCTTTAAAATGTCCCAACTTCTTCTTCTTCTATTCCACCTTGTACCTCATCAAAGTGTCGGGGGGAGATGTAATGTTCGTTGATGAGCTCTGTCAAGAGCACTATTAAGACTGATGTTCATTTCTGTAAGGCTGTTCTTAATGCCATCACTACATATTTTCCGAGGTCTTCCACTCACTCTATACCCGTTGTAACGTTTTAGTGTGGCTCGCTGTATCAGATAGTACCAGGGCATTCTTGTTAGGTGTCCAAACCACTTCATTTGTTGTTCTTTGATGACCTGTAAGACTGGCTTTATTCCTAGAATTCGATTTCATGATTTCGTATTCTGTCTTTCCTTGAAACTCCTGCAGCTCTTCTAAGGCATTTCATCTCTGTTGTCACAAATTTACGTTCATTGGAGGATGTAAGGGTCCATGTTTGGCATTGATAGCAACTGACCAATCAAATTCACTAGCAAAAGTATTCTTTGAGAATGGTTCACCTGTATTGCTGCATCAGTTTTGGTTATGCTTTTATCTTCAACTGCAACAAAAAGCTAGGCCTGGCCACGGAAGATCTGTTATGCACCCACGTCCTTTCCAGAACATTCGTGCCCAGTCTGTCACTGTTGTCTTCAACACATATTTGTTTCTGTGCACAACCTGCATTCTACCATGAATGTCCACTGGTCGACATCTTTCAAACGAAGAAACTGAATCATCGCTCTTTGAGCTCATGTGGGTGGATTGGCCATCAACCTGGTCACTTTTTCAACAGTCAGAAACAGAACCGGTGCATCATGGGAGGTTAAGCATGTGCTCTTTGTATTCATTGTTCAGTACTTCCAACATGACCATGACATGATCATGTTCAGCTTTCACAGTTACGCACAATACTGCACTAAAGCATTGTTTCCAATGAACACTCCTAAAATATATATAAACTTCGATTAACAATCACCATCTGGTCTAGGGCTCTGATGGATAACCGAATAGACAAATAATAGAAAACTCTTATTACACATGTACAGTAATGTGATTTTATCACGGGCCTGGGGAAAAAAAATAGAATCCATTAAAAGTGAATAATAGATATACATTTGTATTTAATTTTTTTCAAAACGATCAATATAAACTTCAACATTACAGTAGCCAGGGTGTCCGTGGCTAAGGCATTGCGAGTATGACTCGTAATTCCAACAAACCGCGATCGAAACCCACTGCTGGCTGTGTGGATTTTTATCATGGTATGGGGCGTCGCAGGTCAACCTAGCCTAAAATGAGTACCAGGATGTATGTCCTGGGAAAGTAAAGACGGCCGGCGTAATGCTGACCACATTACCCACCCAGTGCCGATTGGTCTGCAAAAATATGGGACGCTCTTCCCATATGCCCGATGCATCTAAAGCGTGAAAAGGGATCTTTACTTTACTTTTATTTGATTACAGTAGTAATGTACATAAATTTGTAATACTATAAACCTACATTACTCTAAAATAATCTGTTATCTCCTACTGTGTCTCTGATGCTGGAGCTTTCTGCGCGGTGATCTTCCATATCTGATGCAGAAGTAGGATCTGTACTGCATTCATTTAGCTCTTTTTGCATTTGAAACCAGCTGATAAACTTTCCAGACATTGTTTTTTGCTTCTGAGTGTCTAATTTTAGAGTGTTTTTTAGATGATATAACAGCGGAGAGCAGAAACAGACAATTAAGATAGTGGCGGTTAATCAAAGTGTTCCTGTACTGACACTGGATGTACTGGGTCGAATGGTGGGGGTATCTCAGCCTAGCTGTAAACCACAACACAACATGCCAATTGGTTTTTTTAAGGGTGAATGCAGAAGAGGATGTCTTTGTTACATTTTAAAAGCCAGATCTCTGCCAGGACTTGGTGAGAATTCATTGAGGGCCTTTGCTTCACTTGGGGATACAGGGCAGCAGCAGGAGAAGGAGGAAGGGGACAAGAAGGAGGAAGGGGACAAGGAGGAGGAAGGGGACAAAGAGGTGTTAGTGGTGGCGGTGGTGGTGATAGTTGGAGGAGGAGAAGAAGAAGAAATTCCTTTGTGAGGAATATAAAAAAATCCTGTTATTCAGATTCAGTCTCACACTGACAGCTTTTATTCAGATTCAGTCTCACACTGACAGCTTTCATTCAGATTCAGTCTCACACTCGCAGCTTTCCTTTAGATTCAGTCTCACACTTGCAGCTTTCATTCAGATTCAGTCTCACACTCGCAGCTTTCATTTAGATTCAGTCTTACACTTGCAGCTTTCATTCAGATTCAGTCTCACACTCGCAGCTTTCATTCAGATTCAGTCTCACTCTCACAGCTTTTATTCAGATTCAGTCTCACACTCACAGCTTTCATTCAGATTCAGTCTCACACTCGCAGCTTTCATTCAGATTCAGTCTTACACTCGCAGCTTTCATTCAGATTCAGCCTCACTCTCACAGCTTTCATTCAGATTCAGTCTCACTCTCACAGCTTTCATTCAGATTGAATCTCACACTCACAGCTTTCATTCAGATTCAGTCTCACACTCACAGCTTTTATTCAGATTCAATCTCACACTCACAGCTTACCAAAATCTTCTCCTTCTCCAGGATCAGTTCACTGGACAACTTTTTGGCCACCAGCCGGTAGCTGTAGGAAAGATTGTTGCACCAGAGGATCAACCAGTCGATGAACCGAAACCACAGCGTGAACAGAATGTTTAAAGCAGTTCTGATTTTGCTGACAGCTGCAAAAGACACAGAAGGAAGTGGTAACCGTTCTCTTTTTCTTCATCTCCCCTTTCACCAGCTGTAAGTTCGAGCAGTCAGTCCTGATTGTTTGTCCACTTCTGGACTTTGATTATGTTCCAGGAATTGAGTTTTGCAAATCTGGCTTATTTGTGTGCAGACTGTTGGTACCTCGCCCCTCAAGCTGATGCACTCTGATGTGAAGGAAGTATGGATCCTATCTATGTTGCCCAGGTCCCTGTTTGCAAATCTGTTTCTAAGATGACAGCAGCCAGGCGTGGGCAGGTCTTGACCAGTACGAGCCTTAGTCTTGGTGCACTACCATCTGTGGTTCAGCCTTCTGAATATATTTTAAAGAATTTAACATTTCTCTAGTTCTCTGAGTCTCCCTGGATATCAATTAAAGAATTTAACATTTCTCTTAGAGTTCTCTGAGTCTCCCTGGATATCAATTAAAGAATTTAACATTTCTCTGGAAGTCCTCCAAGTCTCCCTGGATATCAATTAAAGAATTTAACATTTCTCTGGAAGTTCTCCAAGTCTCCCTGGATATCAATTAAAGAATTTAACATTTCTCTGGAAGTTCTCCAATCTCCCTGGATATCAATTAAAGAATTTAACATTTCTCTGGAAGTCCTCCAAGTCTCCCTGGATATCAATTAAAGAATTTAACATTTCTCTGGAAGTCCTCCAAGTCTCCCTGGATATCAATTAAAGAATTTAACATTTCTCTGGAAGTTCTCCAAGTCTCCCTGGATATCAATTAAAGAATTTAACATTTCTCTGGAAGTCCTCCAAGTCTCCCTGGATATGTATTACAGAATTTAACATTTCTCTTGTAGACCTCCAATCTCCCTGGATATGTAGTAAAGTGTAGTGAATCTCATTTTCTCCCAGTTAATGTATGCCCGACAGATGACGTCAGTAATAAATGTGAGTGGAATATTTTGACTCTAGCTGGGACGGCACGGGAATTGTTAAGTATGAACTTCACGGGAATTATAAAGAAATGCTGATGGTCAAGCTTTATGTGGAGTATAATTATTCACGTGAAGAAATGTTGACTGTCGAACTTCATGCCGTGAAACTGAAGAAGCACGGAATATTCAGGGAAAACGAAGCAGGGAGTAGAAGGCTAAATAATATCGCGCAAAGGGCTGGGAGTCAGTCTCGCTTGGACCCAGGAACAGAGTGCATGGACAGCGGTGGATGATGTGTGGATTCAGCAGATGTTTTTGAGTGAATTTGTTCCAGTCCAACTTGGCGAAAAAAGCTGGCCAGCAATATGTCTGCGGGTCGTCTGAGTTTGTCTGTCAGGACAGCTATTGTGTTTTCGTTATGATGTTAGTGTAGGACGATTGTGATTTCTGCTTGAAGGTAATATTTGATAATTGCGTTATAATGTGTGCCTGGACAGTTGTCTATTTCATGTGCCGGCTGTGTAAGCCGCGAGTGGAAGATTAAAGTGCTGGAACAGTATCGTGTTGTTTTTCCAGTCGTCCATTTTCTGCTCGTCATGTGATGTCGGTTTGTGAGATGGCAGCGAGCGTGCGATGATGCGAGCCAGGTAGAAGATAAAAGAAAGTTGTCGCATAAAGAATTTAACATTTCTCTTAAAGTTCTGCAAGTCTCCCTGGATATGTATTAAAAAATGTAATATTTCTCTTTGAGGAGTCTCCCTGCATGTGTTTTAAAGAATGTAACATTTCTCTTGAAGTATTCTAAATCTCCTTGCATGTATATTAAGGAATTTAACATTTCTCTTGAAATCCCACAAGTCTCCCTGCATGTATATTAAAAAATTTAATGTCTCTTTGAAGTCCTCCAAGTCTCTGGGAATATTAAAGAATTTAACATGACTTTTGAAGAACTCCAGGTTTGGAGCTTGAATGAGTTGGACCAATGTGCTTGGATATCGATATGGATATAAAAAGTAACAAGAACAATACATGTGTGGAACAGCACAGGGCATTTTAACCATGATATATGGGAACACACAGGCAACTTACTATCTGGTTCCAGTTCGGACTCATCTGTCACCATCTAGAGACAGTAAAACAAGACATATTCATCTTCTTTTATAGTTTCTTCTTATATTTGTTCTTCTTTCTCTAATTATTATTCTTTCTTCTCTTCTTCTTCTTCTTCTTCTTTCTTCTCCTCTTTCTGCTTTGTATCTCCCAATGAGAATGCAGAATGATTGAAACATCTTCGAGTGAATTATCTCAAGGAACAGATACTGAACAGGAGAAAAATGAGAAGACCTGATGAAAATATAATTAGAATGTTCTTGCACTGGAACCCACAGGCAAAAAAAAAGAAAGGGAGGCCATAAACACATGACTAGAATAAGTATGATGGAGAGGATGCTAGGTGAGCTACGAGAAGTGATAGCACAGGGTAGAATGGCTTGGAGGGAATGGGTTTAAGTCCCTTTCTCCATTGATGGACGAGGAGCCTGAGCTGATAAGACTAGAAAATATGTTCATGCTGACCAAGACTAGAGTTTCTTTTTCTTCTGCTTCTTCACTTCCTCTTTTACTGCTTCAGGTTCCCCGTGTGGGTTCCAGGGCCCTGTTGTAGGAAAAACAAGAATAGACCCACTGCCTACCCAACAGCATGTCGTAAGAGTTGACTAATTGGGAGCTTCCTTCAAAGTCGGGGTGCATCTGCATGAGAGGCAAGGAACCAGCAGTCTGCATACAAAGGAGTCAGATCTGTAAAATGGATGCACACGCAAAACTCAGGTTCTTGAACAGGACTGCAGTCCTGGAGTGGATGAACAAAAAGAACTTTCCGCCAGAGTTTACAGCTGGTGAACGCGAAGAAGAAGAAGAACCGCTTCAGGTGTTGAGGGAGATATGAGGTTCTGCTACTTGCTCTTTTGGCCGCCTCGACCATAGACACTTTGTACTGCTGTAGAGTTTCTCTTACATTATCTTTCCATCTTGTTTTTGGTCTATCTTTTACTCTACATCTTTCTCCTCTTTTAGTGTTTGCTTTATCTGGTATGGTGTCACAAGGCATTCTCTCTGAGTGGGCAAACTATCAGATTTGCTGTCTTTGTTTGTAATTTATAACTGGTTGTGTGCCGTTTTTTTTTTCTTTTATGACATTTCTGATTTTATCTATTTTTTTTTCTTTTATGACAGTTCTGATTTTATCTCTTCGGGTCACTCTTCTCGGACATCTCAGTTACATGGTTACTAACTTTCTTTTCTGGTTTGTTGTGAGTGACCATGTCTGGCACTGGTAGCGTAGGGTTGTAATGAATCTACTTTGTATGAGTTGTTTCTTTGTGCTAAGATGGTAGTGTGTTGTAAGAAGATCGCTAGCTGTCCCAGTACTTGGTTTTCTTTACAGCATCAGATATTAATTGCTTCAACCAATTTCCCATCTTCTATGAATGTTGTTTTCAGATATTCAAACTCAGATGTCTGTTTAATGCCCCTGCACTCTGCTGCTTTATTTAGGTTCTGCTTCTTTCTTCATATTGACATTACTTGTGTCTTTTCAGTGTTGATTCTCTCATACTGTTTGTTTTACATTCTTCATTCATAGATGTCAGATGTTGTTGCAGTTTCATGGTTGTATCATTAGCAAAGAGTAAGTTGTCGATCTTACTAAGACTTTAGAGCAGTCTTTCATATTTTCACATTAATTAGTTTTAATCTCAGAAGGTTTTCATTTCAGACATTTTTCTTCTCAGTCTTCATCTCAGTTATCATTTGTCTCACATTTCAGAAGTTGAGAGCTTAGCAGAGGTGAGTTTAAAAAACAAAAACGATATCACAGAATACGGAACAATTAACAAAATTTCATTGTTTGATTCTTTGATAGAAGGTGTTTATATTACGTTTTCAGAATCGACGTGTTTGCACATCGAGCATCCCCATGCATGCTCAGTCCTCCGATGCAGCAGCCACTCCAAGGTACCTCTACTGATTGTTCCCATGAGGAGTTGGTTATAATATCTCCTGTCTTTACCTCATCATCATCATCAGTTCTCGCTATGCCTAGTGGCACATGAGGCTTCAGAGAGGACTTTCCATGCTTTCCTGTCCTGTGCAATCTTCAGTGCAGTTTTCCATGTCAAAGATGCCGCACTCAGGTCACTTTCCATCATTCGTCTCCATGTTGTTTTTGGGCGCCCCTGTTTTCTCTTTCCTTCTGTTGTCCATGTGAGAGCTGTTTTGGCGGATAAATCAGGATTCATTCTCATAACGTGGCTAAGCCATTTCCATCTTCTCTTGGTTATCATACTGTCTAAAGTTTCTTGGTTTGTGACTTGAAGTAGTTTAGTGTTTGAGATTGTATATGGCCAGAAAATTTTGATAATTCCACGTAGACGTGTGGTGAAAGGCGGACAGCTTGTGTGCATCCTTCTTGGTCATTCTCCAGCATTCCGCTCCATAAAGAAGAACTGGCAAAATGACGCTCTTGTAGAGCCGCAGTTTCGTTCCTCTGCAGTAATTGTTGGATTTCCAGATTTGCCTCATCCTTCCAAAAGCAGCTCTAGCTTTGTTCAGACATGACTGTATGTCCTCTTCGGTCCCTCTAAAGATATGTAAAATGTTCTACATTTTCAAGAGTTTGGTTATTTATGGTCACTGGTTGTTGGTTTGGACTGCTTGTCATGATCTTAGTTTTCTTTGTATTTATTCTCAGTCCCACCATTTCTGCTGTGCTGTGTAGTCTGTTACTTTTTTCTTGTATATGTTCATGTTTATGTGATAGCAGTGCTATATCATCTGCAAAATCAAGGTCCTCAAGCATGGTGAATGGAGTCCATCGTATGCCTCTCAATGTCATGTCTACTGTGTTATTTAGTTTCCAATCAATCACAAGGTTGAAGAGGAGAGATGACATAACACATCCCTGTCTTACACCTGTCTTTACTGGGAAGGATGTATTGTAATTTTTTATACTGCAGGAAAAGTCTTTATAGAAGAGAGCAATTATGTTGACTATTTTTTCTGGAATTCCATAATGTTGTAAA